ATATTAGGTTGGCCAATAAGTCCGTGCGGTTTTTTACTTATAAATTTTACTTATAAAAAACCGCACGGACTTATTGGCCAACCTAATATATACTCGTAATTTTAAATATAATAATTGAAAAGTTTCGCATACAAAAAATCGGTTAAATGTACCATTTCTTGTAAAGATGTAAAGATAAAATTTTCTGTGTAGAGTTAACTACTATAATAAAATTTCTTTATTCGCACAGATGTACTTTATATATCTCGTATTTGAGATATAACAATGTTATTTAACAAACCTGTCTATAATCTCGGGATCTATAAGTAGTCCTTTTTTATGTGATTGATGAACTTTTTGCGGAAGACAGAAGCGTACTTGGATCCACTTGTTAATCATAATATTGACAATGCCAGAAGAGCTGAGATTGCTAAACACGGACTTTAAACCACGTGCCAACGAGCTTCTTTGAAGGATTAACTCATATGGTGATTCATCGCAGTCACTTTCACCTTCAGATCTAAAAGTATATAGTTTAAAATAAAACATGGCTATAAACTAAAAAAGAATAAATAAGTAGTTAAGTTGTTCACCTTCCAGCAATCTCATCGTGTGTCGATACCATTATCTTTATTTCGTCGGTTAAAAAACCACATCTTTTTTCTTCGTGTCTCAATGCTATGCCCAATCTAAACACATCTAAATGCTACTTCCATATGTTAAGGCCTATGTCCACGATGCTAGAACTTGGTCCAAGTTCTCGGACCAAGGAAAAGTTACTGAAACTTGGATCGTAGACACACCAGTTTTGCATCCAAGTTCAGTGTGTCTACGATTCCAAGTTTCAATAACTTTGCCTCGGTCCGAGAACTTGGACCAAGTTGTAGCATCGTGGACACAGGCCTTTATAACACACTCTTTACGCATATGCCGAAATATCATGTTACCTTTTGCTTAGATCATAGTAACACTTTACTATCGAATGACTCGCTTGTGCTTGTAGTGCAAAAACTATATTGAAAAGCATAGAGGAGTTTACTTCCTTCAAGCCACGAGATGGAACCAAAGTTGGATGTCCAACAAAGCGAACATCATTTACTTTTAATTCAAATTTCTGTTCACATAATTCTGGCTTTACAGCGAATAAAGTGGAGAGAACTTCATCCGTTAAACCAGTTAAATTTCCATTACTTATGTTTGACGTCGGAAACGGCAAAGACTGTTGAATGAAATACAACATATCACCAAATTAATAATCATTATACATTTTAAAAGAGGAATTTTTTTTTAAAGTGGCCTACAAAGAAATTTTCACGAAAATATTCCACATTGTTTAAATAAAAACAAAGACCTGTAATAAATCTTCCGTATTGGTCAACGAATAAGGATTCTTTCGTTTCGTACACTGATTAGAATCTCTTACATGGTTAGTCATATGTGGATATCGAAATAACAATCTGTCACCTTTACTGTCGCTTTTTACTAAAATTATGCTTAATGGATGGATACCCATATTATTCAACCGACAATAAAATATAAACAATGCACTAGGTTAAGTGATGTATGTATAATCAAAGAATAAATAGACGAGTATAGAAGGATAGTTCCCAGATAAAAGCGGGGAGCACACACACGCATAACGCGTAAGCATAAGAAAATTGATTGGTCCATACACATGTGCATAAGGAAATGGACCAATCAATCATGATGATTATTTCACAATATTTCACGCATGCGTCGAAAGTCGAAACAAACATGATGCAATTTTTTACGCTAGGTCGTGATATTTTGATATTTATTTGCGCTGCCGCTATATAATCGCTAATTGCTTTGAAAATGTCATTTTTCGATTTTTTCCGAAATTTCCTCGGTGTGAGACGTCGCAATGAGCCTGGTACAAACGGGTAAGGACTTGCATCGTGCTTCATGAAAAACATGTATATGTATATAGGCGTTAAGTTTATGTGTTTCTCAGTTTATTTTGATGCAACTACACTCATTTTATGTCTTTTTGTATAAAAATGAAGATTTGAAAGACAAAACTCACCGCTCGATACTCTAAAAACAGTAATTAAATGCTAGAGGTGGTGTATTTGGAGGTTAGAAAATATGCAAGAATTTTGCTGTCAGTAGTGATGAAATTGCTCAAAAAAAATTTTTTTTATGTGGAGTTGGCTTTTGATAAATGTGGCTCGCAAAGAAAATATATAACTTCCAAGACCACGATATGTTGCATCAGCAATTTTAGATTACAGTCTATTGGTATATATTTCAGATTTGGCGAGCATGATTTGCACCGAGAACGTTTTCGGAATCCAATTTGGCAAAGTGATGAAGACGACGACGACGATGACGATATAGACAACTTTCGGTAAAGAAACGAATACTTTTATAGTCGGGAGACATTTTCAGTGAATTTTAAATTTAATTTTAATCTTTGTTTTCCAGGCATCCTGAGATCGGTTTACAGTTTAACATGTTTAGCGACCCACTTGAAATGACGATTTACTTTGAATCCCAGATTGACAACATGTTGAAAAATTTTTTTAATTTTAGTAATATTCCTTTTGGTATGTTCATCCGATGGAAAATTCATCATTCTATATGCTTTATTTATGAATAAAAGTGTGATACTCAGAATTTTCTTCTAATTATCAAAGTTTTCTTATTTATAAGAACTTATTAATATATTGTTCTAAGTAAGAAAACAATTTTTGTAGATGATAAAGCCATTGCAGCGTTACCATTTGCCGCACCTGAAAAGGATAGCAATTTGCGCGACAAGTTGCTGAAACCTGAGCCCGATAAATTTGCTATCACAGATGTACCATTTGAACAGAAAATAGATACAGATTTAGATGGAAGGTACAACTGCAATATCATTCCTTAATTTTTTATTGTATATCTCAGATAAGTGTTTACATATAATTCATTTTATAGAGTTTCTGCAGAAGAATTTTCAAAGATGTGGAATAAAGGAAATATGGAAACGAAAAAATCTTCCGTACCAAGTAATTTCTCAATTGGAAGATCTGTTAGAAAGGAGATTATACGTAGACCTGATGGAACTGTAGAAAAAAAGCAAGTAATCAGAGATACTGAAGGCAATGAGCAGACGATCATTTCAAAGGAAATAGGCGATAAAACATATGTTGTTACTATAAAAAAAGATAAAAATGGTATTGAAACAAGATCCGAAGATTTGATTAATATGGATGAAAGTAAGTATCTATGAAGGATATACTGAATATAATAGTTATGAATAAAAACGTATAATTATAGTTCTTAATATTGTGCTTATTTAAAAATTTATGTATGTTTATTTGAGACTCAATTGTGACAAATAACAATTTTATTGCTATTATAAAAATTAATTATAGAAGAAAATTGTTATACAAACTTCATTAATTGATATTGTATAACTGAGTAATGGCAAGCATCTGATTTGAAAATTTTTCAATTACAGGTGAACTGAAGGATTTTACTCAAAAGTGGAAATCTGCAAAAGATAACGTGAATAGTCAAGATTCGATTCTTAATCGTTTTCCATGGGAAAAGTTTTTCGGTCCCAATCCGAAATTATAACAAGTAGATAAAGAAAAGTCATAGTGTTAATTCCTAATATATAAAACATACCCGTGTAGTGTATGAGTACCAATAAATTAAATTAAATCGATGATAGAAGCACTTCTTTAATTTTTAACCGTTAAGTTTTCTTTATTTGATGGAATATTCTGTACACATTTAATATATACATACATGTGTTAATAAAATTCATAATTTATGCAAAAAAATATTGTCAAATTTACACAACCGAATCGTCTCACTTGGAAATATAAAATAGAAATAAGTGGTTCGATGTTAAAGATTTAACCTTGTATTATGTGAATCTCAAATGTCTGATATTAATCATAGTACTATGTATCGCATTTGCATTTATTTTAAAATGTTGATTTTTAATATAAATGTTTTGAGACAAGATTCCTTTTTGAACACACGCGAAGTATAATATTAAATACAAAAATATTAATTACGCAATTCTTTGTACAGGCAACAACAAATTCGATTTATACATAAAATTTTTATGATACCGCGCGTGCATACAATTTATAAATTGCATTATTTTCTCCGAATTTTGTCTAATGAGAGATCGAGGGAGATATATTGTATCTCCCTTTTTTTATTAAAAACAGCCAGAATATCAGAATGTGAGAAAAACAATAAAAGATGCGTGCACACAATAAAGCACTGAATCCATATTACCTATAAATATATTTATATGAATAGATATATTATATATTACAAGAACATAAAAAAAAACATGCTCTATCAAAAATATTAATATATTGCTGTCATAGCAACATATTCAACATTTTATGCAGCATGTATTTTTATTACTTATTACCTCGACACTTAAATAAATGTTGCACGCTGATCAATCTCAATAAATCCAGGTATCTCTTATGGATAATTAAATAATATTCAATACATTATGAATCAATGTGCAGTAATACACAAATTATTGTGATTATACCGCATAAATGTTATGTATATACATAAAATATTAATTATAAACAAATGCACAATTTTCTGATTACAATCGCAGGATTTCCAAAATATATCATTACTATAAATACAGCGAAAAATATTTACTATAATATTTTTAGATAATTTCATATTGTATTTGTGAGGTAATATGCAATGTATCGATAAGTCTCAAAATAAATGACAATACAAATGATACAAATGCCTCCTTTTAATAAAAACAAAAACTAATTTCTAGATATTAAAATAATTTTTTTAATTGATATATATATGTATGTATATATGCTACAAAGAAACATTAAATTGTACATTTTCACCTAATTTCTTAATGTGTATTTATATTATTGTTAATTTTATTATAAATTTTATATCTTAGTAACTTGCAATCTCTTATTTCTATTCAATGTCTATGATTAAGTTAAAAATGTCAATAAAATATGAAATATGTTGGAATAAATTATAATAGTGGTATAGATTATTACATTATTTGCATATAATTTACGACATTTCATACAAATTTTTGGAACAATATATCTATACACATTTTCAATTATTTGCAACTTTTACAATGTTAATTATAGCTGCCTCAAACAGATTTCGAATGTAGCATAGAATCGTTTATATCTGTTTCTGACACCACGTTAAATTTTGTTTTTGTCATCCACTAATCGTACAGAAATGTAGTGTACCTACCACATTGATCATTAATTAATATGTTTGCAATTATTCTTGGCCAAAACCTTCCGTTTCTTCAATTGCGTAGTTGAGTTTCTCTACTAATTGGTCGTAGCTTTTATAAGGTGGCAAATCTAGTCTATTGAAACAGGTATGTGATCTTGGTAGCCAGGTGTCTTTTCCGAATTTCTCTATACAAAATCTTTGCGGCCCATTGCTCCCTGTAATACAACGTAATATAATATAGCACAAAATCTATATTATTATTAAAAGACATCAAACTTTCTTAATTAACAATTCTTAAATTAGTAAATAATAATATTAATCAGTTTATTTTTCAATTAATAATCTCTTTACTAATTTTCTTATCAAATCCATATCTATAAAATAGGATAGACAACCTATTATCATTTTCAATAGAAAAAGTAATCTTGTTTCTTTATAACTTACCCATCAGTTCGGCAAATCCACCAACCGGTACGCGACAAGTACCAGTTACAAACTGCAACAATCTAGCTCTTTTTTCACTATCTGTTCTCGTCACAAACTAAAACACAAACAGCGCATATTTGAACGTGACATTGGACATAATTGCAATAAAGATTGATGTAATGACATTAAGAATCGTACCTGCCAAAACCAGAGGATCTGTTTACTGTTACGAGTGTAATGTCTATAAATAGTATTGCGCTGCCAGTCTTCAACGTCTATCTCCTGCATACCACAAAGCATGAGCTCCAGTTCACGTTCATCGAAATATTTGAGCCACTCAAGTGGCACGACTGAATTAAAGCCTTCTAAAAATGCTTTTGTTTGTTCCTCTATACCCCTTGTCATCCTCCACTCTGTCATCAACCTGTTGAATATTCACGAGTGAAAACTTGTCTCTTGGCAAATGCGTGCATGCGTATGCACGCGCGCGCATACGCACACATGTAATTTTCTTTCTTTTTATAATTTTCTAAATTACAATCATCTCTGTTACGAAAATATATACCTGATATATTCTTCCTTATTGTCTTCACCTACTCTAACTTTATCACCACCTTCCTTCAACTCGTGATGTATCACTTGACCAAGAATCTCAAAATCCACGCTATAATATAATTCTAGGCCACATTCATCGATGTTATTTTCTTTTATCCACACGAGGGATTTGTAGAATTCCGGATCAATGGATTCTATATCCTTCATTACTAATTTTTTATTCAACATGCGCTTATAAAAGGGCATCGTAAATCCACTATATATAAATCGGCCATGATAAAGAGCCTGAAAGAACAAGAGTTTTTTTCATATAATATAGTACAAAACAAAGGAAACAGAAATTCTCATTTGTAAAATAGAAACATACCATTGCAATAAATCTTCCTATAAATTTGAAATACTGCAAATGGTCAGGATTGACATACGATGCTGGATTTATTTGTAAACTGTAATTGCTTTTATTGGCATACTCAAATAGGCAATACATCGGATTTAAAACTTCATGGCTTAATAAGAAAAACCATTCCCTGAAAATTAAAAGTGATTAATTTCTTCACAACAGACAAGGAACGCTATATAGATGCGGTACTATGACTTTTCGTACGAAGTGAATGTATGATTACACGAAACATAGTGGCTCTATGTAGCAAAAAAATTAACATCTGACAGTACAATATAACGTACTCCAATATACTCTTCTTTCTTTTTCTCTATCAATAAGTTTATTATATATTTGTATATCATACCTAGATACACCTCCATAATCCAGACCTTCCTCTCCTTTAAATATTATATATAATCGCCGTCTTAGTGCAAAAGCTTCCGCGTTCATTATTTGATGATAAGAATCTTCAAACAATGTCTGCCGACTAACACTAATCTTAATATGATTAGGCAGCGCATTAGTCTGGCACAAGAATCGGAATTGAGACAGTTTCCATCGGAATGATCTTTCGTATGCTCTCGGAACGCGATATACGCCTTTCGGGCTGCACAAGAAAAACAGGAGATTATAGTTATTATGTTTTATTTTGCACTAGGCGCTTGACGTAATATATTTGACACTAACCCTTTGGGCGCACCAGGTCTCGGATCCTGAAATGTTGTTGTTCGAGTATTGTGATCCACAAAATATCGAACTCCATCTTCTGTTAATCGTATTTCCCAGCCGTCCGGCAATGGTGGTTCGTCCATTCCAGTTTCTTGACCTTGCGTTCGAGGATCCTCCCATTGCGTAGTACGGTTCTTATGATTTACATAATAAACTCTTCCTTCTGGTTGTTTCCGTTTTTCCCAACCAGCCGGTAATGGTCCCAGAGCGTCGTCGTCATCAACCATAGACGTCGATGGGCCGGCAGAAGCTTGACTACCGTGAGCCTATGGCAATAATATAATATATATAATGACATTAGTATAAATTTTGCAGAATCTACTTTAGTTTTCTTATATTAAAATAATTTAAACAGTAAAAAATCACATTTATTATTTTATTCATCTCTTTATAGATCAATCAGTCTGATTACCTGAGGATAAAGAAATCTTTGATTGCCTTGTTGAACGACATATTGTCTTTCACCTTGCCAATGTTGGAAATGTTGCAATCGTTCCGTATTTGGCCTTTGCCACGTGGTGCTTCTTGTATTATGATCAACGTAATAAATTCTACCTCTTGGATCTCGACGAACTTCCCATCCAGGAGGCAAAGGCTGTGGTCTCTCCCAAGATGTGCTTCGAGTATTGTGATCGACATAGTATCTAATAGCATAAAGGAGAGATATAAGACAGAAATAAAAATTTCATAAATTGTTACGACATTTAGTCGACATATATATTACCTTCTCCCATATAAATCGTATCTCATTTCCCAACCGGGCGGTAGCGGTTCTTCGGAATGACTGATATCTTCAGCGAGCACTACAGAGGATCCTGGTTGCGTGACAGATTGCCCAGGTACGGCTGCAGCGACGGATTGATTTGACAATGAAGGTGCGGTCTGCGGAATTCGCGGTATACTGGAACGAGAATCTGGTGGCGCAATAGGAGACATATGTTCCACAATAGGAATTGTTCGTCCATCAGTGAGAGGGATCACTGCCGATTGTTCCGATCGAAAAACTACAGCACGACTATCTGTCAGTGGGGCACTCGCGTTTTGTTGACTACGCGATGCGGTTTCGCGTCCCACACGTAGATCCACAAGCGGCGCCGCATTCATCGATTGCTCCGCACGTGGAGCTCGCAAATCTTCTTGCGGGCGAACATTCGTAGATTGCTCCGACTGTCTTATCGCACGCAAATCCTCACCCGCACGAACACTCATGGACTGCTCGGGTTGCCTCATTCCCCGCGTCAGATCCTCGGTCACACGAATGTTCGTGGGTTGTTCTGACTGTTGTCTCATCGCGCGTTGATCCTCATTTGACATACTCGTTCGTCGAATGTTTGCAGACTGATCCGATTGTCTCGCTCCGCGCAAATCGTGCAGATCATCTGCTAAAAGAACATTCGTCGATTGTTCCGAACGTGTCATTACACGGCCATCTGGATGAGCTGCGACGATCGGTTGTTCTATCCGTAGTGCACCAGCACCGCCACATGCGTCCACGAGTGACGATGCACTCGCATCTGTTTGAGAAGCACTGGAACTGTCCATGTTAGAAAGCATAGATTGATCTTGCCGAGGAATCCCACGGACATCCGCGCAAATCTGTTGCCCAGGTATTATTGAAGGAGACTGTTCTGATCGCAGTGGGCCACGTGAATCCGATTTAACTATCGCGGATTGATCCACGTTGCTGTAATTACTCCATGTGTACACTCGGCCCTCCGATGAATTAGCCGACGCCGACGGTTGCTCTTTAACGGTCGATCTGCCTGCGAAAGTTCGTACGTCCGTGGGATGCCGGTTTCCTGGCGACATCATAGATTTATCGGCCATTGGAATCGCGTGGCCGTTCACCAAGATACTTGTGGAAAGGCTGCTACTGCTGGGGCTATTACCAACGTTGCTACTCGATGTACCATCCGCATTTGGGATCGTAGTAGAAAATCCAACATTTTTGTTACTGTTTGCTTGACTGTTTCCACCATTGTAACTGGGACTAAGGTGAATATTTGTCAAACCACGATATATAGACGGTGCAAGATTCTCCGAACTATGTAATCTCATTCGTGCACGGACTCCACCATTGAGAATACTTCGGTTATTAAGTGTATCGTTTGCGGCACCTAAAATGATACAATTTGATATTTAAAAAAATAGAAGAAAAAAAAGAGTATTGTGATATACAGTAGCAGTATTTAATATCTCTCTTTTAAACAAACTTCTTTTATAAATATTAATATAATTTCCAACACTTTTTGTGTATTAACTATATTTTTCTTACCATCAGATTGTATTTGGCAAGATGGTTCATTAACATTCACCGGTATCTCGTTAGTGGTATCAATTCTAAGTCCATCGAATACCGTAATCAATTCACCGACTTTACACAGTTGAGAATCGTGCTTGCTCTCGCTCATTAAATCAAACGTCAATTCTAAATTTTCTAGTTTCCCATTATAATGCGATAACACTTGAAACAGGTTTATCCGTTTTTCTCCTATCAATGTATCTTTGCGAAATGTACTATGGTCAAGTAATCGAAAATGCAATTGTGAATATGGTGTAACGAGTATAGTAAATTCCTCGTTCCATTTTGGCTGATATGTGGACTTTGACACTTCAGTTTTACGAGGACTTTTATCATCAACTGAGAACTCTATGTATGGATTAGGCTTCAAAAAGGTTGAACTCCTCAGTATCGCTCCTTCAACTAGAATAAATATCATTATTAATGTAGATAAAACAATCGTGCAACCCTGGTATCTATTTATAACATAAAACAAAATTTTTTAAATTATTTTTTAAATATAAAACATTGAATATTTAATAGAAGATAAATTGCATTTGTTATAAAAATGTAAATAAAAATGAATTGTCATATTTATTTTATATCTATATATTCTTTTCAATAGATACATTTGTACAACAAGAATTAGAACGTTATAGAACAAAACATTTATATAATAAAAGAAAGTTGACTATTATTGGTTACTTCATCCAATCCTTGCATTATTTCTATGAATAAATATCACAGCATATGTAACAGCTAACAAACTGATAATTGATATCAATTCCGCTAAAGACACAATTGAGATAAGAAAACATCTGATCAGAGATCATGTATGATAAGAACAGAACTTGAAAGACAAAAAATAATAATAGTCGCGTTCACATAGTAATATTATAAATTCCTTCTGCTTCTCTTTTCACTATGAAATTCTTTTAGACATTCTTCTTTAGTGCAATTATATTCCTTTTAATGCAACAAAACATTTGCAATAAACAAACGGTAACAATATACATTTTGAGAATGTCTTATCACATCTGGAAGACTACAAGACTTACTTGTGATGCTTAATTGGTGAAAACCAGGGGACGCCGCATCTTCCTCGCAATGAGACATTGTAAGAAATTTATTGCGATTCAAATTACTTTGAAGAGGTCATAATTTTCTCACTGAATCACTCTCTTGCGATATCTGCAATGTGCACAAGTGGATTCTGGAGATACAACTTTATAGGTTAACTTCTTGGGATTATTTATAATATGTATATCGCTTATGTAAGACGTACTACACTTATATGATAAAATTCGCTGCCAAAACTGGTGACGATCGGCGTACATATCTCACTTATACCAGTAGCAGAGAAAATGTCATTTGAAAAAAAATATCTATATGTAAAGCTATATCTATATTACTTTGTAGAACGATATAATCAGCAGTATAATTATATAACACGTTCAATCCAGTCCGATCTTGTCTCGACGAATCCAGCAAATATACGAGCAAATATAAAAACGAGGAAATACTTTGAAAGCTCGCGGAGGAAAATCTTGGAATTTTTTGCTGCGATCTACGCGTGACGGCGACTCACGTCGAGCTTTTACCTAACGGCCTACGGCCAATTCCCTTCGGCTGAAAATATTCTGTTCGCGAGCCACGTACGTACAAAGGGTACCGTCGTCGCGGAGATCCGTCGTCATCACGATCTTCATGGATCTCACGACTCACGGCTCGTCGAGGTGCTGGGTGCTGCTGTCACACGGCATCGCGATACTCGCGATCGAGGCGAGGCGAGAAACAAATAATGCAATGAGCAATGTCTCGGCGAATACAAACCGTATAATCGGTGCCTCGGAGCGACGCTCACGATACCCTCGACGACGACCCGCCGCCCATTCCTCGCACGATTGCGGATCTCTTATCTTTGCTGCGCGGCCGCGGCAGCAAGTGGAAATATTCGGGATTTGCGTTATCATCAAAGGCCTCGCGCGCTATCGGTCAGTCACCATCTTCTCATACGTCAAACGCGGAGAGCGGAGCACTTTTCTTGTATCACGCGAGAGCGCGACAGCGACCGCGGACGACGGCCCTCATGATTGAAAATCGCTGCCGTCCGATACTCTCATCCGGTGCGATGGGTCCTCGTGCGAAATGTGTGTGTACATATGTACGCGAGCTATTTTCACCCGTACGACACCGCACCATATAATGCACGCATTTCAGTCATGTGAGAGAAAAAGAGAGAGAGAGAGAGAGAGAGAGAGTGAGAGAGTGTGAGAGAGAGAAAGAGAAGTTCGGCGATGCACGGCCGCGCTCAGCAGGTTGTACTCGCGCCGACAGAGACCGAGCATTCAAGGTCCTCTCGAAGTAAAGAGAGATAAAAATAGTCACTCCGATCACTCGTCCTCGACTTTACTGACTTCTGTCTTTATCTGCGTCAATCGTTACGGCTGACAGACCGCGCGTTGGAAAGAGAAAAAAAATCTTGACCAGTATTGTCTTCTCTTTCTAATATAAAGCGGAGACTGGAGAGAGATGTGAAGTTGGCCAGAGGTTGGCAAATTGAAAATTGCTGATGATGCAAAAGAAATGGCGCTTGATACAAATACATCTGTCAATAGATACGGAGACCATTTCATGTGCGAAAAATGTATATTTATCCATTTATAAAGCATATTCAACATCCCACACTTCCTTTACAAATTATTTTTAATATAAGCTAGATCGAAGTTGGAGCAAAAATTAATCAGGCGGTCTCTTCATAAAAACTACTTTATTGCACTTCCTCGATTTCAATTCAAAATTATTAGAAAATTCCATAAATTCTTTAAATTCTTTAATGCAGATTCTTTTTTTAATTGAGGAGCTTATTTTCCCTCTTTTAAAAAAAGAGAATTTAAATTATTAAAGATGCGTATTAGTATTTGTGTTATTAAATTATTATAAATTATGTGATAATATATATTATTCTAGCTTCAACTTCAAACTGCATTTTAAGATTGACAGTAACAGCGCATGGTTTGCAAAACGAAAAATGTACATAAATTGACGCAAAAAATATCATTATATAAAGGCACAGAGCTGATCCAGCCTGTATTGGCACATTTTCTATTACTTGATTGTTATCATAACAGTTATGACTAACTTAATATATAATGTAAATTGTTATTATTAAATTAATCATGTTATTAAATTAATATTTAAATTAGATTTTTAAAGTTACAGAAAAAACTTGTATGTAATAAGCTCTTAATCATATAATTATATTAATTATCATTTGAAAAACAAGAATTCAAAACAATTTAGCGATAAGATTTTGAGCAATTGTCATTGAAATTACAATAAAAAAAACAAGAACATGAAATGTCGCGTCGCGGTAACGAGAACAATAAATTATCATAGATGACAAATCTATACCGAAGAAAATAAGAAACCCTAATTAACTCTAATTTATCGTTAATATTTTCACATAAGCGTACGCGTTAATATAATGAAGCTCGCTGATGAATGTGAGCACCGACAGAATGGCGGGTATCTGCCACCATGTAAGCCTGACGTACTCCTGGATGCGACATCGCAGATTTCCGGGCAGAAATATCGCCAGGAGCATGTAATCCATCATCGCGTGAAAGTTGAACATCTTCCAGGCGAGAGTGATGGCCCAAAAGGCGGAACTTCTGTAGACAACGGTCTGTCTATCGTAGAAATCTTCCCGGTCGATCGGAGGAATGTTTTTATTGTCGATCTCCAGGAGATCCTGATACAAGGATATGTATCGGTTCCAAGCGATGCTTATTAAGGAGAAATGCAAGCTTACTATCAGCATGTTATACAGGGGCGATTTCCAGTACGAGTTGGAGGCGACGGCACTGTGGGGCAGCGACGGTAGCAACGGCGCTCGCACGGGTCGCTCGTAATTGGCGCAATCGTTGGCGTTGCGCCTCAGGAAGACGAATAATGCGACTATGAGAGCGATGCAACCGAGAGCGTCGCAAATGCCATCCACGAAGAAGCCGATGGAGCCGACGTCGGACTTCTCGCCTTTGATATTGAGTCTCGTTCTCGCCACGTGCCCGTCCAGATCGTCCATCCAGGCCCTGACTTGGAACAACACGACGCCCACTTGCCTGCTGAAGAGAGAACTCCGCGTGATGCATCGGGCGCCGATTATGGCTATTATCACGTGGGAGACGCTGATGGCATTCGGCGTCAACCAGGTCCAAGAGCGACTGATACCCAGCAGATAATCCACCAGGGACGCCAGGGGACTTAAGATATAATGATTAGGGTGGTCCAGCATCATGGCCTTCACCGTCACCGTGCAAATCGGATTCAGATCGCAGAGGATGGGCGAGCGATACGGCAATGCCTGTGTGTTGTTCGCACGTGGGCGGATGTCATAATTCTGCACTCTGAAATAGAGTAGCAGATCCATCCCGATGAAGTATAGCAGTAACAGTAGCAGAACCGCCAAATATGTTTTGTTGACGAACGTCGGCAAAAACATCTTCGGAAATCCAGAATCTCGCTATTTAATTTCTCTCCCTCAATCTTATACTTTCTTTCATTAATTTAATTAAATCGTATATAGTTATTTTTAATTTAATCAATAGCTTATTATCGTTATCTTTCTTATTTAATCAAGACAATCCAATAATAAGCCAATATCTTGTTATAGTAGAATATTATTTTTACCATTTAAAATTATCGGCACGTTTCGACTCCAACTCCATATGTGTGCGTGCCGGCGTACGCACATGTATGTGCATGTGTGTGCAAGACAAAGTTTTTTAAAAGTGCACGCCAGTCCTTTCAGCGTCATTAATCAATTGCCATTGATATTTTTCTCGATAATCCTCTTCGTTCGTTTTCTTCTTTAGATGTATTCAAATCCACAATACACGTACATGTATATAAAAACGTGTGTATATATATACCAATATTAATTCTTCAAGTTCCCACCTCAAGACAAGAAACCATTCAGACTTCTGCATTTATCATGATAACTGTGTGCACTATCGACGCATCGATAACTACTCCTATCACGCGATAAAAACTATACGATGTTAAAGTCAATGCGTCATCCAGGTCGAACACGCATTTTCGCTGCAAGTACAGAGATAGATTAGACAGAAATAGATAATGTTCTAATGTGTCATTATCACACAAGAATTGCAGTATATACGGAGAGAAGAACTTAAATGTTCTGTAAACTCGAGTGTTTATTGAATTAATACGACACACTATTATACGAATATTTCTATCTATAATATTTTACAGTGTCGAACTTTGATTCAAACTACTAGTAAATGCGCATTAGCATCGTATTAGAAGTACGTTTAATAAATGGTACATACGAACTGACGCGCTCTTCGTTGTAATACGTGTTTTATAACTTCGCTAGACGAACGTGACTTGGTTTGCAAGTAAGATATATCTAATGCTTATTGGTCACATCACTTGCCGCGGGATTCTCCAAGACATGCTGAAGAGCACAAAAAACGTTTACGTAACAATATTTGAAGTTTCTAAAAACAAGATAAATCAAAGTTACGCTAAATTGAACGATATTTTCAAATATTCGAAAAATTTTCCGATAGATTAACAACAAATGTAAATTATTGTATAAACTAGAACGTAAATTATTTTATAAACTAGACATTGCGAGGATCAATTGGTATGTCTCATTTTAAGTAATAATTCTCTATTGTCTTCTGTATTTTAAATATATACTTGTGGATGAAGTATATATCTTGTCTAAAATAAATACCTGTGTAATTTTTTAAATCTATATTATATATATTTATTTTCAACAAATATTTTAATGTAATTTCACAATTAAAAAGAACTTAAAAAGTCTACGGCGTAATATAAAACATTTATTCGAGAGATCGCGTATAATTTTAGCAAGCTTTTGTAAAATTTAATGAAAGTTCCTCTCTCTGTGTTTTAAAAAACAAAATTATTTAAATTGTTAAATGTGGAATTTTCTCTTGTTGTCCTTAACTTTCTTATGGGGTTTCTTTCTCCTTTCTTCGAAAAAATTTCAAAACTTGAGACGGTATCTTATTTAATTATCAGCGTAAAAAGATTTTCCAAAAAGGTCGGGATTAAGTCGATGCAGCTGCGTATTCTTTCCAAAGGCTAAAATAAATTGCTGAGCTCACGGTGACGCATCTGTAAGAAATAACAATGGTATCAGTAAAAAAAAACTCGTAAAAGTGTGCGACATAAATACCAAGGTTGAATATGAACTTTTAAAAATGCTATTTGAATATCGAGAGATTTAAAAATAACACTAAACAACAATGTCCTTAATTAACTTAGGTATTTACTTTCTCGGCGTTGACAGACCTGCATCCGGAGTCTCGGGCTTCCACCACGCGAGGTCTCCAAGATCAATCAGGCAAAATCATCACTCTCCCGTCCACCCTTTAAAAGATTTCAATGGGTTACTGAATATTATCGCTGATAATTAATAATAGATATTGAACATGGCAACGAAAAAACTCAACGGTTTATGTGCGTCTTTTAATAAATTGTACAGAGGAAATGTATCCACGATAAACGCGATAGCGCAACGCACATACGCAACCGCGGACGAAGGAGATACTCAGGTTACTCATACTGGTCAGGTGAGATATCCCTCGTTCACTCGTCAAAACATTCCTTATATAAAATATTGGAAATCATTCTACTCGTTCAAATAACGAAATTCACACAGATCTAGCGATACATATTTATGAAAGTATATATTTGATTTATTTATCGATTACCAAATGAACCGTAAACTCATTTTCTAGTATTGTCCTTCATGACTTCTTTAATAAATACTGTTTCTCTTTAATAATCGTTTCTTATCACACTTCATCAGGTATTCGAGAAAGACGATTATCGACTAGTAAGATTTCTGGACAGGCCGAAAGAAGTTAACAAAAATTGGGCGATTAAATTGATAGATGAAGTACCGCCGTCGCCCGAGAAAGATAGAATCATAGCTTGCGACGGTGGCGGAGGTCCTCTTGGACATCCTAAAGTTTATATAAATCTGGTAAGATTTGTGTTAATATTAAAATGAGTAGCATGCTAAGTTATAATAAAACAAATTTTATTTATAAGAAAAGTGAACTTATTTTATTCTTTCCTTTGCAGGATAAACCAGGCAATCATATCTGTGGCTACTGTGGTCTGCGCTTTTATAAGGAGGACCATCATTAGACGAACACTGTACATGAGTAGTTATATTTAATTGTTAATTTATAAGTGTACTTTAGAATGTGATGTTTGTTGCAGTAAATATGTAAAATAAAACCGGTACCTAATGCAACTCAATTATATTTGAATAAATATTTAATAATTAATACACAAGTTGGGTGTCAAGATTAGGATTTGTTTACTAAATTCTTTTAAAAAAAAATATTGTTCAACATTTATAAATTTATATATTGAATCTACGTATATACTGAATCCAAAAATACAAGTACTTGAACATATAGCACTTAGTAAATTTATTGATACTCCAATAAAGTCAGTGAAAGATACTCTTTTATAAATGCAAATAATGAGATTTAGATGTGTATTAATCTTCATAAGATTGAATTTGTGTACAAGAAACATCTTTTAAACACATTTGAAGATTTAAATAATAGTTTTAACAAATTTAATTTTTATTGCAATAGAAATTTTAACACTAATGATGAGAATATATTTTACTGAAAAGATTTATTCAAGATTCATCTTTCTTTAACTCACATACTTCATCTGCATTCGCATCTCATAAGGCTGTCTTTTGACTGTTCATACTTAAAGGTATAGCTTGCAGTTCTGTTCTCATACAAAGGAATTCTCCGCAGACACACATTATACTTAACGACACGAGATTTAAACACCACCAGCTAAAAGACGTTGGATAAGTTCCGTTGTACGCCCAGCAACAGATCAGATGAATCCAATGGGCCGTGCACGCAAAGTCCATGCATAATTTTGTTCTTTGCACTAGCCACCATAATGCAAGAGCGCCTACGAAGGCATTTAGGACAAACATAACAATAACTAGCTGCCCTCCAAAATCACGAACGTGTATCTCTTTATATTGAAACACATAATCCAACGACTTTGTCCAGCCCAATATCGATGCGACAATCCAAATCCAGAATCCAAGGCAAAGATACATAACGGTCTGCACGGCGATTATCTGGGAAATTATGAGAATGGGATCCCATGTTGTCTTGCGAAATTGCCCAGAGAGATTATTCATTTTCTTGCACTAGGAATGGTACCTATTCGAGAAATAAAAGTTTTCTAAATAGATAGAAGCAAACTTTCATCATTCTAGACTTCTGAATCCAGTATCTGTAAATAACGAAGCAACTACATATATCGTTGAAATAGAAAGGAAATGTGAAATTTAAATGTTAAAACATAACAATATCTAATCATATATGTGTGTGTGTGTATATATATATATATATATATATATATATATATATATATATATATACACAAAATATATAATTTAAGATATTGGTGGACAGGTATGTTGAGGTTAGATTATTACCATACAAGTATAATAATACTCACATTGTGACTTGAAAGTCAAAACACAGGTACAATCCAATCTGAATAATTTTTCCAGATACATTTAGTATGATAACAGACGAAAGGAAGACGTGTATAAATAGAATTACAGCATAGACATAATATGAAAATAGCTGTGCATGATTAGCTCACACAACAGCATTGAATGCAAGACGTCGATCAGTCTCATTTGTTCCAAATCATAGAAGTGTCTTCCCTGTCAAATCCACGCAAATAAAAAAATATGCAAGACGTAAAGATGTTTTCATCAGAAATGCATTTGATCACAGACACAGTTTACGTTTGTTCGTCACCATTCGTCACCTCATCCAGACCCAATCAGCTGTGCGCAGGGTGCACGATAAGTGCAAATGACGGCTGATTCCGCTTCGGGAAACGCCTAGGGATCCTTTAATGAGGGATAGGACACCGAGGCTGCAGGATACGGATTGGTCGTCCGCCATTAAGGGTCGGCAGGAGTCACGGTAGAGACCTCTGTCGGGCCATCACTTATTTTAAATAAGAAAGTTATTGGTTTTTTACATTTCTGATATTTAGAACAGCTAGAATCATTTACTTCGTCTCTTATTTACGTCTTTTAGTGATCAGGATATAACTATAACATAGAAAAAAAAACATTTTTCTTAAAAAATAAAAATATATTCTTAAAATAAGATTAAAAGAATATGCAAAGTTTAACGTTATTCGCTTTCTGAATTATCAGTTGTGCTTTCTGAATTATGTATGTATAGTTTTAGAAAATGACGACATGCGGGCAAATAGACGGACACATGCGGATATCTTTCCTTCCACTGATTAACTAATTGATCACTTATATTATCGGACCTGATGATGAGAGAAAAGTATTGCAGTTTAGGACATTGTCTCAAAATAATTGAATATTTATCAGGTATATCAAGTTTCGCGCCTTCAAGATTTAACTCTTTTAAGTTTTTGCACTGCGCTAGTAATTCCAACCGGTGATCAGTGAAAACATCAGGATAGGAGTCGAAATCAATATTAATTTCTTGCAAGTGTTGACAAGAAGAAAGTAATCTAAATGTGTCATCAGTAATTGAGCATTCGTCTCTGTAACAAAAATCATATAATTAGTACAGTATTTTAATTGCGAAGAAAAAATTCATGTAACTTTTTCAAGATGCTCGCAAGAGAAGCGAACAAATTTCAATAAAGAATACAATAATATGTATTTTAAAAGAAAATGTAGCGCATATACTTACACAAAATAAAGGATTACTTTTCGTAAATTCTTACAGTTAGCGAGAGCATTAATGCCCTGAGATGTAATGGGATTTGATGAACTTACTCCTTGCTCCTCTGAGCAGATAAACAACGGTGTATTTATTACTTCCAAGTCACGACACGAATTTCCTAATTCTATTAAAATTGGATCATTCAATTCTCCCAACTCTACCTCTCGTATCTGTGGATTATTTTTAAGTGTTTTACAAACATGTTTTGTAGAAATTTCCAGCTCCGCAATATTGATGCATTCCAAATTATTTAGCTTCTCGAGATAGGAAAATTTGTCGCAATGTAATTCACTTAAATCCAATTCTAAAAAAAATTTGCATTAGTTGTTATGCAATTTACCCATAATCTTGACAATTATATACATTTACTATATGCATATACCTTTCAAATTTTTGCATGTCCAGGAAATTCCAAAGGACAGTAGGACGGAATTTAACTGTCGTATGTGGCAATCCCTTAAGCATAAATGCGTTAAACAGCTGCCGCAATTACTAAGAAAGTTTACGAAATCATTATCATCAAAGTAGCTTCCTGTAAGATCTAATTGTTGCAAATATTTACATCTAGGTGTAAAATAACAAAATATATCGCACATATATTTCTTAGATTTATATCGCATGTTCAAACGTGTATAGAGTTCAGGGTCCTGTGTTAAATTTTTGAAGCGTTTATCTACGTTACTCATGCGGCATAACGTCTTCAGATCTAAATTTTTTAATATTTTTAGTAGTATTTCATTCTGCAAAGATAAAATATAAAACTTTAATACACAAAATAACATTACAATAAATATTATTATAAAAAATAGATTTTTTATAATACTTTACAGGAAGCGTCGATAAACTGCAACGTGATAGCTCCTTGGATTCATCCGAAGAGAGTTTCATACTGTTTACACAATTGTGTTTACGACGCGAGTATTTCTGTCTAAGAGTTTGGCACTTGGTCGCAATGGCAGTTTGAAGCTGAGAGCTTAAAGAGGACACGTCGGTACACATTCTTTCAATTTCGGTATCTCGCCTTTCAACTTGCAGTTGTAATGCATTAGCCTCATCCGTAACTGTGTCTCTCTGCCTACGTAATTCACAATTTTCCTTCTCCAACCTGTAATCCACATTAAATCAAATCCACGTACAAGATATTAAATGTTGATAACACTTCATTAAGAATAAACATTAGTCTCTTGCTACTTTATACAGTAATTATATTATTAGTTATCAAAATATTATAAATTTTTTTTTAATATATCAATATTAGAAATCGTAAGAACGTAACATTACCGTTTGACAGATTCCTGTAATCTGTGCACTTCAATTTTCACTTCCTCAAGATTGCTACATACTTCTGTATTGCTCTTTTCCGCTAGCTTCAACTTTCCTCTACACTCGTCAAGATCCAACTTCTGTTCTGCAAGTTCTTTCTGCGCCGTCTCTAAATTTTGCTCTGTAAGTCAACATACGATATAAAGTTCTCAGCCTTCCATTTATTTATGCAAAATTCTTTATTTTGAGATAAACTTTGGCCATGAATTATGGCTTTCGATGTTTGAGACTAAAGAAGTTTACATTGAGTCTCGAGTAACGAAAGTATTGTTAGAAGAAACCTAAATTCGAGAAAGGTACATAAAAAGCGCCGGCATTTCAGAAGTATGTAAATAAAACGAGCGTGCCTCAAATATTTGAAGCTGTTAAAAATTCAAAACGGCGCGTCCAGCTTACCCAACCATTTTCGGCTGGTCTTGAAAACCGCCTTAGTTATAACCGCCGCGGTTATAAACTCCTCGAACTTTGCATTAAAATGGGCATTGATTTTCCTCGTTAATTCTCTCGGGATTTGCGCTAGCTCCTCCTCACTCGCGATCTCGCGAAGAACGTTGGGCTCGCTCTCCTCGACCGCTTCCATGTCGATCGGATAATTTCTTCGGCGATTGGATCAGTCGAGCTTTACAACCGACGTTTTCAGATTCCAAGGTTGAGGTGTTGAGTTTCTCTGAACAGGCACCACATTTGCGTCTCAGGTTAATAAACGTTATCACGTTTCTGCAACGGACACGTGCGTTTTACCGGCTTGCTTACGGCTCCTGCGCTTCGTCGTTCGTCGTCAGCGTCACGTGGTCACGTGGTAGCGTAGATACGCTAGTGAATTTCCTCACTTTCGTAATTTTCACCTATTTCAATCAAGATACACAATCGACCCCCTGGGCTGCGTTCGGAAACGTCACCCGAGTACACACGAGTATACTCCCTTCTCTTTCTATCTCAGCGAGTTAGAAGGAGAAGGGAGTATACCCGTGTATACCCAGGTGACGTTTCTGAACGCAGCCCTGGAAGCTAGTTAGAATAGCCAACAATCTGGTTAAATCCAGGGTGATCAGATTATCCGACTGCAAAGGGTTCTATTGGGAATGGCTAAACTGCGATACGCTATCTGGTGGCAAAAACAGAACTAAAAAGAGTAGGTCGCCGGCTGCCACATAAATAAATCGAATTGCGGCATGAAGGCGTCGAATTGGTAAAATTGCATATTTCACTTATGGGCAGTCTTATTTTAATTACTGAAATTTATAAATAAGCACATACGTCGTATTGTATTGTGACAAGTGACCTACTCTCTCCGGCCATTTTGCCTTGGTGACGTCACGACCGCCAATCCCAATAGAACGATCCCGTGATTGGTTCGCTGATTCCGCTTCCTTTTGAGAATTTAGGATTTCTTGGATGGTATTCATAGTCGGATTTTGTATTATTTCCTTGTTGAATCTTGTAAAATAATTATTATTTATTAAAAAATACATATATGTTTGTAAACTTTGTATTATATAAATATTTCCTTGTTGAATTTAAAAATTATTAATTTTATAAAATTAATTGTTATCATATCCACTAAAACTTTGTATTTAAATATCTTGTATTTCCTTGTTAAATTTAATTAAAATTTTTTAATCTTTTTTAAAATTGTTATCATCAAGGCGAACTAGTAATATTTCGACGTATTTTTAGGGTCATAACGTTCGGGAAAACGTAGGCGACAGGCACTGAACTAGTAATTTCGACTCGTACGCCGCGGCCGCCGCGGTACCGTTCACGTTCCACGTTGACGAATTGACGACTACCATGCCGAACTTCCACGTAGCACGCGGCGGTGGCGGTGCGTGGTAATAATAAGTTTGCACGGTTATGTCGGAGCACTGTAGGACCAGTTGTGTCGTCGTGAGTGGATGTTGATCACGAAATTGGTCAGTGTTCTTAACAGAAGGGTGCCGGCCGAGCAGCGGAATAAAATGAGAAACTTTAACATTTTTCTATTCGCGATCGTCTCGACGATCGCACTCGCGGCGAACGGAGGTAATACGATTTACAATTTATTCGCGTGACATATCGTGCGAGATAATACGCGTAAAGATCACAAGCATGAAATAACATCTGATTTGAACTTTCAATTCTTTCTCGCCGTAATGATTCAGTTAAATATTCTTAGACGGACGATTTACGTGATCAAATGGCATTTCCTGATGTTTTGCAAATTTTCTATTTTTCATTTTTATGCCAATTCTTATATGCGTATGTTTAGGGTATTGAAACACTTTTATCGTGAATGAAGTACTTAATATTGTGCAAAAGTTCGCACTTTGATTCAGGTTTAATATGTAAATTTATATATTACTAATGAGAATTGAGTATTTTTATAAGGTACATTTTAAATATTGACTTTACGTATTAAAAATATATTAATTTGTTATTACAACTATTGCTGCTGTGTGCAGAGATCAATTTTGCACAATATGTCACTTATAAAATTACTTAAAGATAATATTAAATATATTGAAATTTTATAGATCCTTACGTTTATATTTATACTTGTAGGATATGTCCAAGCTCAAGAAGATGAGAGTATCGACGATATTGTTGATGTGGAAGGTGAAGAAGGAAGTATAATAACTGAGGAAGAAACGGAGGAGGATACTAGTAATGCCTCAGCTGATGCTGATACAACGATACTTTTCACAAAACCTATTCATAATACATTGTCTACCCTTGGTATTGAATTTTTCAACATTGAGATTAAAATGTACGATGTTTCTTTCTGTAATACTAAAATTTATTGTGAATTTGACAGAATTGCCAGCTGGAAATATAGTAGAATTTCTTGTGGGCTTCACTAACAAGGGTGAAAACGATTTTGTCTTGGAGTCGCTGGACGCCTCTTTCCGCTATGCAATGGACTTTAATTTTTACATTCAAAATTTCTCCACGTTTACGTTTAACAAGATTGTGAAGCCCAAGCACGAAGCTACCTTAGCTTATTCTTTCATACCATCCGAAAGTTTTGCTGGAAGACCGTTTGGCTTGAACGTTAACTTGAATTATAAAGATGCAGTACGTATGATGTTATATTGTGGGATATGATATTGCATACAGAGTGTTAAAAAAAGCGTTTAGTAGAGTTACATTATTAAAACTGATCTGAAAATTCTGTTTTTGGCAAAATCAATTATTTTAATGCATGTTAGTCAGGTTCTTCATTTATTTCAATGAGTATCACATATCCTTCATCACAGAAACTCTTTTTTTAACTCTGTATGTTTGGGAATATATTACTTTTCGCGTATTGATGTATTATATTTTTTTGCAGAATGGAATTTCCTACAATGAAGCGGTCTTTAATGAAACCATACAAATTATAGAGATAGACGATGGTCTTGATGGAGAAACTGTTTTCCTTTATGTATTCCTCGCAGCATGTGTTATATTAACTCTCGTAGGAGGTCAACAATTATTATCGTCTCTGGGACGCAGATCGCGTTCTTCTACCACTCGTAAAGCACCAGTAGAAATGGGTACATCCAACCCTAACAATGTAGATTACGATTGGTTGCCAAAAGAAACTCTCAACAGAATCAGTAAGTAATAGAAAGATCAGAAATCTGTTTGGCTATTTTTCTTTCCAATTTAACGATAACAAATCTCACTGTTGAGTCTTAATTGCTATCGTGAATAGTATAAATAGCTATTACAAATTTCTTGATTAATTTGTATCATTGTGTCAGAAAATATCGTATAAAGAGCATTATAATATCAAAGTTTATTACAAATCATGTTTTGTTTACAGATAAATCACCTAGAACTCCAAAGCAAAGCCCAAGGCAAAGGAAAACAAAAAGATCAGCTGATGATTGAACTATATATATTAATATTTATGTATGTATGTTATTTAAAAGTAATGCGGGAAAATCTGTATTGCACAAGATAACTGCAATAATTTTTGGAGAGGTGATTCTGAGTTCTTTAGTCTCTTCCATAATTTCTTAATTATGAAACAGATTATATGAACAAGAAATATCCAGTTTCGATAAGTAATCAATTTTGATAAGTAATACAGAACATGGAGTTCCTCAATGGGTTTTTAATGAGATACGATTATGGAGAAAGCCATACGGCTATATTCTGTAATATTACAGAATACGTTGAACTTTATACATGGACGTTCAAAATCAATAGAGAGAATGGTATAGTAATACCCAATGATCTTGTTTTTGCACAAAACCCATACGTAGCTACATAGTACTTACATTAAGATGACGAGTTATACATTTTTTTCTGAGATTAATTGTCCATTTTTTTTTACGTAATTTGCATTATCACCGCGGATAACATGAATGCATGTGTGCGTACAGATAAAATTTGATCATTCTACAATTATATTGTATTAGTATGTAAAAATTCAATAAAAAAGTTTTTTACGAAGACTGTCTCGTATATATGTTTCTCGCTGGAAATGGTTTCTCTCGATTTAAAAAAATTTGTTCCCATTTAAAAAATATGCAAGAGATCTCGTCTAGAGAACACCAGCTAGAATCAAAATCCATTTTTATGTACACCTTCAAAACCAAAATTTTATTTCAGCTACTCCACTCTGTTTGCATGTG